GTGTGTGTGTGTGTGTGTGTGTGTGTGTGTGTGTGTTTGTGTGTGTGTGTGTTTGTTTGTGTGGCAAGAGGTTTTTATTTGGGTCAGGAAGGGCTTTCTTTAGAACTAAGTTCTAGGTGAGGCTTGTGCATGTGTTCTGCTCCTGGTAGGGAGGGACACATGCTGTATGGGTCCAAATATTTTCCTCATTTTGAAGTGGTTGCCAAGGTCAGGAGAGTCTGTCTTGAAGCTCTGAGTCAATTAAAATCATTATCTTCTCTTCCTTGAATGTGGTGAGGTCAGGAACATTGGGATGCAATTTCTTTAAATAATTGACTTCGGGCCCCTAAAAGACTTTTAGCATGGCTGCATCTGCCTGGTTTTTAAATTGACACCCTCTACACAGGAAATCAGTTCAGACTTGTTCCTCAACATCTGTGGGATGTGGTAATATCTTTAATTCCAGACATTTTCAAGATAAAAGCCTTGTTTTCCATTCATGTTCCTCTCTTTTCAGGTCATTCAGTCTTCTGCCCAGTGTTTTTGGCCTTTGAAGCTCTCTTTTTAGACAAAACAGGTTCTTTAGTATTCTCTTGTCCTAAATATACATCCATCTTCTTAGAAACTGGGAATTCAGAACTTATTATAAAACAACTATCCTCTACCAATTTGATATCGCATTCATCATCAGGCTCAAGATTCATTGCTTCATCTGTTACTGGCTCTTCAATAGGAGAAATGGATCCATCATCATCCAAATATTTGTATCTATGACTATCAAGATCTTCTTTTTCTAAATCTTCACCAACATTCATTTTATTCAAGGATTCCTTAAGGTGGTGTTCATATTTCAGCTTTTCAATGTAGTTAAAAAATCCTCTGGCAACAGCTTGCTCAAAAGTTAAAATTTTCCTCCATGGTAATGGGTTTCTTCTGTTCTCTGATTCTGTAAACTTATGGCCTTTGCCTCTAACTTGTTTCTTGTCTATCTGTGACCGTCTAGTATTTTTACTTCCTTTTGGTCTTCCTGTTGGCTTGTATTTTCTTTTCTTCCATTTCCTTTTCTTGAATCTTTCAAAAATAGCTTTTAAAGTCAATGGTTTTGGTTCAAAGGATGAGTCGCTTGATGAATCTTCTTTAATGTTCTTAGGTGAATAAATACATTTTTGGGTTTGGTTCCTTTGCCTCCATGTAGGTGAGGAAAGAACACACTGTGTTTTAAATAAGCTGCTACCAGACCAGGAGCTATCACTTTGATTTTCAGATTCTACAGTTGAATCAGATGTTGTGTAGTCAGGTGAATCCATTCCTGATGTAGTCTTCAAATTTATGCACCACTTTCTCTCTTTGCTTTAGTTTCCTCCTCAGCTGTGCGGAAGGAAAGGCAAGCAGTGGAATTTTTGTAAAATTTGGACAAAGACAAAAAACATTTTCACAGAAAGGAAACTTTCAAGTAATGATGCCTTCTCTGGAAGAAATGTTGTACCTAGGAATTTAATTAATAAAAATTCTTAAAAATCTCTATTTTAATTCTTAAAAGTCTGTGAATATATTTGAGGGGAAAACTATGTGTTTAAATATATTGTTATTCCTGAAGTGAGTTTTTGTTAGATAATTGTCAAACACCATCTTTCAAGGAGATTACACAAGTTTGGATTGCAAACTTCCTTTTTTAAGATATATTAAGGGGGCTGGCAAGTGGCATGGTGGTTAAAGCACTGAACTCTCATATGGTTGACAGTGATTCAAGCCCCAGAACTGGTGACTTGCTTTCTCACATTCCCTCTCTCTAAGTCTCTCTATGGTCAAATTAAAAAATAATCCTAATAAGTAAATCATTCTTTTTAAAAAGTTATATTAAGAAACACCTCACTGGTATGCATTAAATATAACTGATGTTTCATAATGCTCAAAACTACCTTTGACATTTGAAGTAGACCTTTGCTCACTTAAAACACACTGATTTGGATTACTCAGAGCAACAATTACACAGCTGATCTTATGCTGTTTTCTCTTTAGGCCAGTGCTATGCAACCTTCTACTACATTATGGGAAGGTATCAGCAGATGGCATAAAGGCTATATCGCTGGATTCCCATGTAGTCAGCCGTGGTTCGAGTCCTGGACCCAGTGGCTTAAACTCACGCTGGGTATGTGTGCATGCATGCCCAAGATCCCGAAAGGAGAATGGAGGAGAAGGGATTGTGGCATGTCTCTCTGTCTCTCTCTATTTTTCTGGCAAGTGCATGTGCCCTATTGACGGGGCCATGCAGCCAACACAGGCTGAACATAAAGGAGCTGTCTCTCATGCCTAAGCAAGGACTGGGCTGAGAAGGAACTGTAAGCAAGGCCACAGTCAGGGGCTCCAGTTTTTAACTGTGTTTGTTGCACTGGTTGGTGCTGTCCTGCTTTCAATTTCTCTGCCATGAGCTTCACTGTTATTATGCTACCCCTCAAAGGTAAAATAATACCCCCAAGTCTTCCTGCAACTTTACAATAAAGTCAATTAGTGATCCTGAAGGAATGCGGTTCCCTCAGGTGACTGAGGGGATCAGGAAATTTGAGACTCATCCCACCTGCCTGTGTTAAGCCAAATTAGCATATGTTAGGTTAAGTTAGTATAAGCCAAATTAGCATTAGTAGCATATGTAGACTAAGTTAGTTTAAGGCTAATTTTACCTAAAAACCCCTTCTTAAAGTTGCAGGCCAAGTTAGCTTATGTTAGTCTAAGTTAGCACATCCACCGCCATGACAGGGATTCAAAGACAGAGCACAAGAATTCACTGATTAACAGACAGGAATTCAGCAAATAAAATACGGGACCCGCAGGAAAATAGAAGGAGGACAGATCTGGCTAACAATGCCAGAATAAACAAACCTGAAAGTTCCAGGGAAAGATTAACTATTTTAGCTGGGAGTTCTTACCTAAGCTCGGGCAAGCAACAGAGAGTTCCAAACTACAAATAGTTTCCCCTCTGTGTGTTGTAAACTAGGAAAAACTGCAATAAAACATCTTGTGTTGTCTCCTGATCCACAAAAACCCCCTCATCCAGAAAGGCCCTGTCCAATATTCAAGATTTAAGAAGAAAATGCACCAGACAGATGGACTCTCTTGTCCTGAGGACTGTGACTAATTACACTTAATTGAACAGAACAAACATCATGTTTTATGATTATGGCTCCCATATTTTGAATACTCTATTTCTTAGAGCAAATCTTTTACTTTCCCCTCACCCCTCCTACTTCTGTAAAACATCCCTCAATAAATAAATATATATGTTTGATAGCCACTGGGGCTGCAGTCTTGAGCTTGTTCTGTCTGTAGTCAGCTGAGAACATGCTAAAGAGCATTGAAGTCTCAATATGATTCCTTCTTGCCTGCATCGCCTTCCTGTGTACGAGCCTCAACCCACCCCGGCTGGAGCAGGCCTCCAGGACCCTATAGCAAAACAAACAAACAAACAAACAAACAAAAAACCTCTCTACTACATTATGGGAGCTTCACAGTGTGTTCAAACACCTTTAGTGCCATGATTTCAATGACAGGACATTTTGAATTAACACCAACATCTGCCTGTGCACCTTGATTTTCCCTTTCAAAGGGCACAGCTGTATGTTCTAAAACTCTTTGTTTTTGTCAGTCACAGATTAACATCGTCCAAAGTACAGGTTGAAATATTAATGGCCCCAGAATGAAAGTATAGTGCTTTGTCAGTTATACATTATCATGGTCCAAGGTACAAGCAGATGTGGTTAAAATAAAAATGGCCCCTGAAATTTCAAAGGACACTTTTGATAAAAGGAAAGTATAGAGCTTTGAATATCCCTAACGCATCTGTTCCAAGTTTATCAGAGAAGGTAAGTTTTCATGAAATCAAATTCTAAAACCTGGATGTTATTTCTTTTATTATTATTATTATTTTTTTTATTTGCATTCATTCACTGCACATCATTAGAGCATACAAAATGAGATTTTCCGTCCAGAAGTACACTGTATATTGTCTCAATCAAGCACATCAACAAACATGTTATTGTCAACAAATAATTTTCCATTTCTTGTTTTCTGTATGTTTTGCTTTTTACCCCCCATCCTTGATTCCCTATCTCTTACCCTCTGCCATCTCCCACTCTCCTCCCACACTGTCTCTGGTATCTATGTTTGCTTTCTATACTGTTTCCCCCACATTTTATTGAATTACGAAAGACCTTAATTAATCTAAATATTTTCATAGCAAACACAGCTGATACATACATTTCCATGGACACAAGTCTAACTTTAGGCATCCTATAAAGTAGCACGTAACTGGGGCTATATATCTTACTGCAGTCATTGAATAGATATTTTTTTCTGAAACTTTTTTTGTACCTTAATTTACA